TCTGTGACCATAATATTTTTGCACGACGAACTATTAACATTAGTGATTTTTATACCGTAGTACCAAAAAAGGGGAGCCATTAAAAATGATAGTATAATCAAGCATATGTATAATTGATGTATGTTATGTGTTGTATGTATTTAATCACTATTTCACAAAGAAGTTTTCTTCACGTTCACATAATAATTGTACTAAGCAGATGTTATTCATTATATAATGATTATGCTGTTATTCATTCTATTTTTGTAGTATTGTAATTTATTTTTACGTGTCCGTCACTTGAACCTTGATAATTATACTTAATAGTTTAATTTTTAATAGCGGTACAGGTATAATGGGGACGGAGCATATTGAGTCAAGAAAGGTCAAAGATCTATACAAATTTGTATGCGAATCTGTATGCGGTAGTATACAAATATCGTTAAAAGCTTTGCGATGACAATAATGTTCTTAAAATTGTATTTTTAGTATTAGGATACATACGATAAGGGTTGATCGTCTGCTTATAATTATTTGTGGTAATTAACAACATAATACAACTATTTTTCATACACTCTGACATAGCAATCTAAAAATTCACTACGGCCATAGTGCAATGTTTACATTTTTTTTTTTGCTTTTCCTAAATTAAAAAAAAAAATGTTGACTACAGTTTTTTGAGATACTTCAGTCTAATATTCCGACCTCAAGCCCTATAATTACACATAAAAAGCAAAATAAATGAAAAAAAATTCTTTCCTTTCTAGACGTAAAGGGTTTTTGATATTTATTTGGCAAGTCAACGTATATTGATAACACTATGTCTAAATTACACACAAATTCCAAACTCATTCAACTATTTTTTTTTTAATTTATAGAGCGCCCTAATTTTAAGTTAAAATATGAACTTTTTGGGCCTTTTCCACGATTTTGATGAGGAAGGGCTAAACCTTTTAAATTTTTCGCCCAATTTAGTACATTTTAGGTACGATTTCTGATCTATAGAGCTGCTCCATTAAAAAACGATTCACAAAAAAAATATATAATTTAATACCTTTTCAGCTTCCCATCGAAGCTAAAAAATATGAGCAGAAAACGTTATGATCAATTATACAATTTTAAATTAATAATTCTTGTTTGGAATTTTGTAATGTAAAATCAACATACCGAAATTCGACCATTATACATCGACTATATATACTTAGAAGATATAATGTTTAAATTATGCATGATGTAGTTATACTTGTATTGGGTAAGTCCGGTTTGGCCACTTGATCATTCTCGATTTCATTATTAGTCAATCGCTGTATTATTACAATATGCATCATCCTTATTTAAAATTGAGTCCTACTGTGAACAGAGTTACTTGCCGCGATGTCTTTCTTAGACTGACAATATATTTGCAAGACCTCGGTCCGTACCAATTTTGGCTTTGATTTTTATTTATTAGCTTTCAATATTCTGATGCTATTAAAAATTAAAATATCGTTCGGTATAAATTTTGTTATATGAGTATTTGAATTTATTTAAATATTTAATGAAAAATATAGTATAATCAGTATCTAATCTTGTATTCACATTATAACTCCGATGATCACACATTAAACTGATTTTGGAACAAAAAACAAAATACATCTTCTTCTTTGAAGTTTTTTTGCCTAATCCGAATCTGATCTCTAACTAATCTAACTGATCTATTTAGACTAACATGTATTGTTATTTTAGCTTCGAGATGCTATTGGTTTTACCGTGATGTGAACTTTTTTTTTTTAAATGCCATTATACTGTTTTGTAGTATTTTGATGTGTTCTGTAAGTTTGTAAATTTTCTAAATAATTTTACGGCAAATTAATTTGTTTTATTCCATTTACTAAGCTAAATTCAGAATTGACCTAAGACATTTTTTTTTTATTATACAAAAGAAAATCTCAGCATGATATGGCCTGGGTAGCGTCCTCTTTAAACAAAATCACAACTTGGTTGGCAAACGCCTGGCGCGGAAAAAGAAATGAATAGTCTTCACGGTCACATGAAGTCGCATTTTAAAAGGGAATTGCAACAATGTGAATATTTGTAGCCTAAAAATTACGAGTATGGCTCTTACACGGACGAATTAAATAGCTTGGGCCAAAATTCAATACTAGAAAAGCTTACAGAGGCATGTACACATTTTTGCATGATGTCTAAAAGCAAACGCTTCAACGTTTACGATCAAGGTTTAAGCTTGTACATTAATAATGTAGTAGAAGATACTGAAATTATGCAAACTTTGGTAACGGATTTTGGAGGTTTAGAAGGTGGAAACCGATTTGTGAAATTTCGAAATGAATAAAGTTAAGGATTCTATGAAAGTTAAGTATTCTATTCTTGCAAGTTCAGCATTTCCGTTCTAATTTTTTGCCGATGATAAAAACTAGTATATTGGACATGTTTAGATACCCTGAATTCGTTGAACAACTCTAAAGCTAAGGCCCCACTGAGAGCGATTTGCGTTTTTGCGATAGCGTGTAGCGTGTTGGCGATTTAGCGATTTTATCAACAGTATAGAAATAAATATGGAGTGTCCCCTCTGACCGCGTGTAGCGTTTTACGATTTTAGCTACACGCGCGAGAATCGCTGAAAAAACAAAATTGTTTGATTTTCGGCGATTAATCGCTGTTAAAATGGTATCATCGTCGGTTCTGTCAGAACAAACTGCTGCTGCTGTATACCTACAAGAACCCATATGGAATCCGAGACACCCAGACCACATAAATCGAAACACAGTCCTCAGATGTTGTAGGTCTGTTATAGGACAAAACCTTAAAATTGATAAAATGTATGGTAATTTAATTATTTAATGTTATATATTTAGGTTTATTAAATTAGTTATTATAAATTATATGTTTTAATACTAGTAATAAAATAAATAAAAATAGAGCTCGGATGTTAATGACCTAAAATGCATTTGAAAATTAATGTAGAAATGAACACGCGCGACATAAAAAAACGCTAAAGTGTCCCCACCAAAATCGCTGGTGGACATCTGGCGTGTCAAATCGCGGAATCGCTCACACGCAAATCGCTTTCAGTGGGTCCTTAGCTTAACGGTTAGGTAACGGAAAAAGTAAAAACATTACTATACAAACAACATTTAAAATACGATATAGAAAAGGATTCAACGAGTTCTGAGAACCCTTAATTTGCGATTCTTAAAACAATTCATTGTCAAACCTCTACACTAGTAGATATTGCAAAAAGTATTGGCTATAATATTGACATTAAAACACAAACAAAATCTCTGATACGAGAAAGTATTCTGTGTGTAGATATTTTTGTAGAATTTTTAAAAAAATTATTGATTGTTGTTAATTTTAATATTTTAAAATTATTCGAGGCATTTGACAGACTTGTTTGGAAAAAAGTATTTATGTGGTAAATCAAAATTAAGTGAGATTATTTTAGTAAAATGCATTTGTTTGAATATAAGTAAAATATTTACCTTTGATGTTTAAATACCATATAGCATATTAAAATAGATTAACTTGTGTAAAAACATTTTTTTAAACTAAATCACTCTTCTCAATTATATTATACTCTTTTAGTTTCATAGTAATTACATTGTTTTATAGTATTAAGAAAATATGTTTAAAACATTACATAATATTTGGTTTCATGCTAAAAGACGGTATTCAAATATTGTAATTTATTATTTCAATTGTAGTATTTATTTATATCTGTGATGTCACCTTCACCTATTCAATATTTCGAGAAAAAAAATCATAATAATAAAAATATAGATTGTGGTTGTTATTAGATTTGAAAAACAGTCGAGAACAAAAGTGGTGTACGTTTTTACACAATGCGAAAATATAGTTAGTTCTGCTTTGCTTGTTGTCTGCTAGATGGCAAAAGAACTTTTACTTTCTCGTAAAAATGTATACAGCATTTCTACTTTAACCTTTCGCGAATTACACCCTGATCACCAATTTCAATGCGTCACCCTTCATATAATGACAAACATTGCTCAGAACATCAGACTAAAGCCTTTGCTCTAATAATCGCGCTCTCCTACGTTTTCCAATCTTCAAATGTGTAACAAAATAAATAACCTTTCAATTACATTTGATATGTAACAAAGCCGAAATTTTATATTTATTTTTATATGCATAAAAAACTTATATATATAAATTCTTTATCTAATAATAATAACTAATATCATTTATAAAGTACCTTTGTCTATTTTGTAAGGGGCACACCACTTGGCAACAAAATCAACATTATATTACTTGTGCTATACTAAAATTTGAGCTCCATTTAGGATTAATCGGGTCTTTATTACAACAAAAATGTAAAATTAATAATAATATTTGTTTGTACTTATCTCAAAATATATTTTTATCGTAAATTTCCCAATAAAAACTCTTAAAAGTTGTTGGTATGGTGAAAACATTTTTTGATAAGAAATCTGCAATATTATATTTCAAAATATTATACAATTGTCTGTTGTTTACAACTAATTTTATATTGTTTCTTATTTTTTACTTGAGACATTTAATATTATAACATATTTAATAGATGTATAAAAATCTAAGAGTAGTTGTTACGTAACTATATTGTATATATTATTGTGTTGAAAACACATTTCAATAAATAATTTACATACCAACAGGCAGAATGCCACTAAGAGCAAATTATTAATAACATTTTAAAAATGTGAAACGCAATCATCAATAATATTATAATTTATTTATCATCCTAATATATTTATAGATTCCAATTCGAAATGTTAAAACAAAAGTTTTCCTTCTTCATTTAATTTCGAATGGACAGTTTTTGTGCAACAATAAATACAATAATCACTCTTTAGATAAATAATAATTATTAAATAACTGACCATAATACATGCTCGCTCTTTATAATTGTAAACACATTTATTCCATTGACCATTGTATGATTTGATAATTATCCTACAAGACGTAATCAAGGAATGTATTATCTTCGTTACACAAGTATAAAAATAAAATAATAATAAAGAAAATAATAAAAATTCACCTGTTTATTTTATTATACATAGTAACAGTACTGTTATCATAATAGTTGTAGTATTTATATATTGAACTCAATAGTCAGTAATAAGTTCAATGAAAAGTTTTTATACAAACGTAAAAAAAAAACATTTTTCTTTGTTATATTTCCAAAAGTATTTATGTATAAAATTGCGCAATACAATATGTATCGATCGATATGATATACATAAACGAAGAAAGAAGCGCTATCCGTTCTATTTGATCTATTTTCATTTAGAGATTTCTAATTGTGGTTTTGCCGCTTCTTGAGCGTTAAGTTCCAACGATTTGGCGATTTCGGGCGGTGTGGTCGGGATTACGTTTCCGAATGCGTGATAACCAGACTCATCGGCGTAGTATCTTACTTCAACTGGAACGCCATCATCCCCCTGGTAAGCGTATGAACCTTCAATTACTTGAGCGGCTCCTTCGGTTCCTGGGTTTTTCACGTAACCTACGGCTTGTGATTCGATTCCATTTTCCGTCTTATATCTGATTAGACGTAACAAGATATTATTTGTTATACTTTCAAATTATTAACGTGTAGATATTATGCATAGTAGTTCTATATTTACGATTAGATAAAATATATGAGAAAGTTTGATTATTATTTGTTTTTCTACTAACCCGTATTTAAAGCTTCCATCAGGGTTTACTTCCTGCGACTGGCTAATGATTGCCGGCAGTTTGTTGTCAACAGACTTGTAGATTGGAGCAGGCGTTGGGATCGCGTTGACCTTAAGCAAGGGAGCAGGGGCTTGATATCCAGGATAGTATCCACGGTTATAACCATTGTAACCTAAAGAAAATAAAAATAAACATAAATACACACGTATTTTACGATAATTTAAAAAAAATGTATGAGTTCATTAAGTTTAGTTACCTTGATATCCTTGGTAACCGGGATACCCTGCGTATCCTTGATATCCTTGGTAACCGGGATACCCTGCGTATCCTTGATATCCCGGGTAGTAACCACGGTATCCTGAGTATCCAGGATAATATCCTTGTTGTCCTGGATAATATGCTTGATTTCCTTGGTATAATCCATTATTGAACTCAAATGGCTTTTGTGGGGCCGCAGCCACCATAGCAACAATTGCTACCAATACCACCTAAAAGGTATTAATTATTAATTTTAAGGAACAAAACTCATTTATACTAGTATATATTAAACTTTAAATGAAATAAGTTATATGATATCCAAAGCATTTTTAGTATGAGAGTCTTTTGATGGTATTCTTTTGGATTCTTATTATTTGTATAGATAAATGCATAGATATTGTTTTGTTTTTAATAGGTAACGAATAATTTATAACAGACCTATATTATGCCATTGCGTGGCTGTATAGTTGCACCGTCCTAACTTAGTAATGACTAATAATACACTGTTTAAAACAATATTGTTTTAAAAAAGCATGTTTGAAGGAAAATTGGTCTATTTCCAGTTGTTCCTCCCTATTTAAAAAATCGAATTGACGCCCCTACTAATCACAGTATTTTATGTAGTAAATAAAACAAAATACTTTATTGATTACTGACATAGCAATTAAAAATTGATTCATTTATTTAAATAACTAGTTTTTAAATCAAATCTAACGTTAAAAAAAAATCTACATTTTTAATTATTTGTTTTACCTCAGTGTCTTTCTATGGTTATTATACGATACATTATAGTGTATATAATTTAATAACAATTCTAGCTTTTATTAATTTATGTAAAAGTATATTAATTATTTTTTAGTATACCTCTTGATCGGTTAAAGGTTATTGACGCAAAATAAATTGATTTAATATGTTTATTATTAAGTAATAATAATAAGTAAAAACATTCTTAATTAAGTTATAGTTATTATTAGATGTACTTACTAAAGTGTTCATGGTTTTCCTGTTGAGTGTGTGTTCAAAAATCAAAAAACTTAATTCTGAAGAGATGATAACGCAACTGAGAAACAAACGACCCTTTTGTAAGTGTTATATACTGATGTTTGGGCGTATACACCAATGAAATCAAAGTAATACCACGATCTTGACATTTAAAAAAAAAATCTCCATTTTTCTGAGAATAAATTATTGTTTTTTATAAGTGCATTATTATATAAATATGTAGATTATGTAGATTACCCTTTCTGGAAAAAAATCAGACCGGTTTTTATACATTTTTGCACGGAACTGCTCTGGACAATAAAATGAAACTGGTGTATTCCAATATTTGTTTTCGCACAATTTTCTGTACGTACCTACTTTACAAAATCAGTATTAATAATTAGTTACAATTAGAACAAATTTGAAATAATCTCAACAATTTCTTAGGTGTTTTCTAATATAACTCAATCACGCAAAGCGACAGTTGATAACTAGACATTTACCTAAATTATAATAAGCGTGTCATATAATTTTTTTTTAATCTTTTTAAAATTTGGCTGTTGGTAAATATTCTGTGTACCTTTGTAGAACAAAAGAGAATAGACACTTTAAATTAACAGTTTTTCAACTTTAAAATTTATATGGTTTAATAAACATTAAATAGTCTGACATTCATTTAGTACCGATAAACTTAAATATTAAGTTTGGTTTAAAGTATAGCTTCAGTCATTTTAAACTGCCCTTACTGCCCAAGTATATTTGATGAAAATCATCATAAATAACACAATTTTGTTGCAATATACTGTCATGTACTTATTACTTATTTGTTGTGTAATTCTTAAAAATAATTTTTAAGGACTTTGTCTTTAAAAGACTATATCGAAGTGTTTTCTTGTAACTTAGGTTTCAACAAACTATAAACTATCCCAATCTCATTGTCCTGACTATGTTAATACAGCTTGTTTCTAACATTTTATTTAATTATTTAAGGCATTTAATTTTAAAAAAAAAACGTGTAAATTAAACCGTTTATGTGTCGTTATGATAAATTAGCAACGCCAATAACAAATAAAATAGTAACAACAAAATAAACAACATATAATTCAAAATATTAATTTAATAATGAATTGTGTAATAAATATTATAAAATTATATAACAAATTAATTATTTATTAATTTAATAACAAATAAAATAAATTATAATAACTCCTCCCCCCTAAACATATTTCTAAACATTGTATGTCACTAGTATTAAATAATATGATTTTGACTTGTCTTTTTATTGTACTTATACAATAGTGCTTCGTAATTTTATCTTCATAGTTCTTATCATTATCCTGATAATAAACAATGTATACTAATATGTTTATAAACATACATTATGTCGTCGTTGACGCAAAATAACATCCTTTGTACCAATTTCACGATTTTGTGGTTTTGGTATCCCTGGCTACAGACAAAAATAAGCTACCGTATGATAAATCTTCATTGTAGAATAAATGAAAAATAAAAAATAAAACCTCCTACGTGTTACCTACTTTAAATCGTTTTACATTTTGGGGAATATATATTGTTTAATAATTTGGAAGAAGAAGAAACATAATTTTACAAATAACTTAGAATGTCGCAACATCAATTCTATGATCTATTATTCAAAATCGATCAACAAATCACTAAAACTATTCTCAAAAACTATATTTTGACGTGACGTTGCAGGTCAGCGTTGGTCCGTTCGGCTAATGTGAATGTGCGAACGCTTTTTGTTTAGTGATTTAAACAAAACCGTTTTTTGTTTAGGGATTTGTTGATCAATTTTGAATAATAAAACATAAAATTGATGTTGCGACATTCTAAAATATTTGTAAAATTATGTTTCTTCTTCTTCTAAATCGTTAAACAATGTATGATGTTCCCCAAATTCCTTTCTTTTAATTAACATTTCTCATACCCATGTTCTTCTATGTCTTTTCTCTTCTTCTTCATCCTAAATAAGCATCATTATTGCCAATTTTATTTTTTTTACTAAATTATAGCATGATGAATAAGGAATTATATTATAATTAAATTGATTTTGTAAATTTTAATTCAGAACTAGACAACTAAAAAAGTAGATCACGATTTTGTCGGTATTATTTCCATGAAGTTTCTAAACTTTGACGTTTAATGTGAATAGATAACAAATTCGACGTGACAGTACCAGTCTGTGACGTGATGTTAACGTTCCGTATAGTGTGAATCGACCTTTAAATAATTTAATGTTTCCTGAACAATTAGGTTTTAGCACATGGGAGATTTTTTCTTGGCATAGGCGATGTGCTTATTATTCCTGTGCCAAAACCAAGAACTCATTTAGATTAGATTAGTTAATAAAAAGACGAGTAACATACATAAAATGTCTGATTTTTAATTAATTTTTAAACGAATTTAAGTATTTTAAATATTTTTAATACGAATTTTTACACAGTGGCGACAAAGCTTGTACGAATTGGGACGGTCACAGGTTTTTGGGAAATAAAAATTATGTTATAATACAATACCAGTCTAATTTTTAATTCTAAATTCAATAACTACGCACACAAAATATCAAAATAAAGAAAAAGTTTCCACCTCTTTTAAGTGGAAGTGTTAATAGTATTTGTTAAAATTGTGTTGCTAAGGTATTATATTCCAATAATACCTTAAAACACTATTCTTGGTTATTTAAGAGACGAAATATAGGCAATTGAAGACAGAAAATTTGTTTTACCAATATTTCGATAATGTCGACTTCTTTTCAAATTATTTGTTAATTGCTTCAAGTTATAATTTTTAATATTACAATTTGTTCTATAATTTTTATATTTTTTGGTAGATGGGTCCGATTTTGCTAACTATGTTTTGTCTAAACAAGGATATTAATTACATTGCTAAAAACCACAAAAAATGGGTTAACATAAAAAAAATAACAGGTCATACGCAAGCCCTTAAACAAATTAAGAACAAGTTCGTCTATTATTCAGTCAGGCTATAAGGTTTAAAATTGTAAAATTGAAAAATGTGTAAAACTTTTTCCACTTTTGTCCTTGTTATATAGTTTGGTTTAATGATCTCCAAATGGTATGTACGAAAAAAAACAGTAGAGTGGTTAATATGATAATATTTGTCTTAACACTAAAATAAGTAAATAATAATAATAATATTCAATTCATATTTATTTTAATAATTTCTATGACATGTAATATGTTATTGTGTATTTTGTTATGAAATTGTGATAATTATCTAATTGATAATTTATACACTAAGTTAACTATATAGTTTTTAAATATTATTAAACAACTCTGAACTCCGAAGCTTGAATAAAACCAGTCTAGACAATGAAAAGGAATATCAGTATTCAAGGTTATGTGTTTGTGAATCCTGTTAAAAAAAAGAATTAAATGCGGTTATGGAAGCATTATACAACATATATTATACAAGAAATTAAAATGTTATCGAAATTTATCGTTATATCTATAATGTCTATTCCATGGTTCGTCCAAACTCTTGGTCAGGAATGCCTAGTTTGCTAATTCCTTGTTATGTTTAACTATTAAATAGTTCTTATAAACATATCGTATATCAGTATATTTTATAAGTACTGTGTTTTTATTTCTGTTTTTTTTTTGTATGGAATTTGGATCTTTAAAACCGATGAACCGATTTCTTTATGTAACTTTTTTGGTAATTTACATTTTATTGCAATATCGTATACGACCTCGATAAAAAACAAATTAATTGTGACATCGATTAGAATTGCCCATCAACCTTGAACAATTAAAATTAAATGAAAAATCATCTTTAAAAGATAAACATAAATCAACAACTAAATTAGGTTGAGGTATAATGAATAATGATTATATTTAATGTCCGTACAGACATATATTTTACTATTGCTATCGATCGTAGTATAATAGATTAACGAGATATATCTACTGTCTTATTAAGTAGAGAATTAAAATAGAAGAAAGATGGTCATTATTTAGTTAACCCACAGTTGTATATAATTCGATATTAAGTTATGATATTTAGTGTTTTTATAGAGAATGTTAATTATCACATTTTTGTTGTTTGTCGCTTGTTTATAATTTATAAACGGGTTTATTTTTAATCTACAGATGCCAAGCACATTTATTTAATCTATAATCTCTTCAATAGTATTATTATACTAGCTGGGGTACCCGGCTTCGCTCAGGGAGCAACTTTATTTCAAAATTGTATAATAATTTTTTTTGTTGAAAAAAAAAATATACAATCTATACAATAAAAGCACAATAAGTATATGTGTTGATATAATACAAAACATGTGATACATTTAATAAATAAGTCACCCATTCGTTACACTTAAATTTGATAATACAACATTTTTTTTCAAAAAAATAACAATAAAGCCAATTGCTTATATTTTGGGTTGACACAGCATACTGAATCAATCGCATAATTGATATAAATATAAATTTAGTGATTACATTTAAAACAAAATAATTATTGTTAAACTATAGAATTCAATTTTAAAACGGGAGCAAATAAAATTCAAAAAATAAATAAAAACAAGAATGATTACAACGGAGATATAAATGTAGTATGCGGGTGACTATTAAATTATGACTATAAGTGGTAGTTTATTATAAACCAAGTGAAATATATTCATAAATCACACTTACCCCGAGTTATGGGGAAATTGCATCTTTGGTGAGCGCGCGGAAATATACTCGAACAATCGCGCCGTGCGATACATATCAGTGTACTGGGTGATTGGTTAACTATGGACCAGTTAATAACTTAGAAGATGTAAGATTTTTTTAAATTTTATAGTTATTAGATGGGACAATTTTAAATGGTAACGTATACCATTAAAAAGTTATGACGAGAGGGGAAGGGCGGTTGAGCAATGGGCGCAGACAAAAAACATCACTACTTCTTCCTCCACCCTTCCTCCCGCCCTAAATTTTAAACTTTAATAACTTTGAAACTAATAATCCAAAACTGGTTATCGACGAGTCAAAATGTTCAGAAAATTTTTTTTAATTTAAAAAAATAATAAAATATTTACGTTACCGTCTAAAATTCTTAAGTTCATACGGGTTTAACATATAAGGGATGGGGTTATAATTTAAAAAAAATATATTAAATTTGTCCCAACTAATAACTATAAAATAATTTTAAAAAAAGTCTACTATCTTCTAAGTTATTGACTGGTCCATAGTTAACTAATCACTCAGTATAATTATTTACCTCCTTGCTACACACTAACCGTATATCACTTTTTTTTTAAACATCTAAAAATTAAACTCTCAACAATTTTTCTGGTTTACGATTTCTGAGTTTTAGCGGCCGCACATATTGTAGACTTCCTTTTATTATATATATTGATTAAAAGTAAACTCTGTATCGTAATGTGTTCAAAATATTCTTATTATGTAACATAATATTATTTTTACTAATTTTATTATTTAATTTTTTTGTTTTACCGTTACTTATTTACTTAGTTGTTTTTTTTAAAAATATATTTATTATAATGTAATTATTAATGTACCGATGTAGGTAAAGTGTTTTATTTTTATTATACTATATTTTGCTTAATTAACTCTTATTTTGTTTAATGATTATTGAAATTTAATTAATCTCATATATCTATCATATCGGTTATTATGATGTTTCTGTTAGCATTCGAATGTGTAGGCAAAGCTCAATATAAATTACTTTATTGTTTTCTTTATCTTTTGTGTATAACATTTTTAATTTTAGAGACGATATCATAGGTTTATTGTTAAAGGTGTTTAATCAGTGGTTTTATCACTACTCCATTCAAACTGTGCTACATTTTTTAGCTAAAAGTTGTTTTTTTTAATTAAACTTTAGTTAAACATTATAATGTTTTTTTTTTATATACATATGAATTTCGTGTGCTAAATTACAGATATTCGTAGTACTTTTCAATAGTTACAATAATATGCGATTTCGTTTTTAACAATTTTTAAGGTATTTTATGAAAAAATTATGAAATAAAGTCGCGAAAATAATAGTGTTTAATATTTCTTTATTCATATAATTTATCAAAAATTAAATTAATTACTGAAGTCATTAATTGCAGTTACCATGGTTCACTAGCATCTTCATTTTCCATAGGATATTTTTTTATATTGGTCGAGGTTAATATTATTCATTTGATGGTCCGGTTTTATTAAGTATGAAAAATAAACTTATTAAAACAAAATGTCACTAGGTCATCTACGATTTATAGAAAATAATATTATAACTTTACATTGTGTTAATATTATATTTCGATGGACATTCATTTTGATATTAATTTAATATGTAAATTCTTACATAATATTTAAGATGTTTTTTTCCAGCGTATATTTATAATGTTATAAACTATACTATAGGAGTTTTTTATTTTTTGTTTTTAAGTATTTTAACCAAAGATATTATGTCGCTGTCACTGGATATATTATTAGCTTTATAATATCAACTTAGCGTACTTGAATTTAAAATAAAGTGATTTTGCTCATTTTTAATACTAAATGTCTATTTGATTATTATATTATGTTATCGCTGCGCTTCACAGTTTCCATACGTCTATTGTCTAATAATACATTGGCTTATATTGAAAACAAAAATACTTAATGTTTTTTATTTAGTGCAAGATTAAGCTGCTGAGTGGTTTTCATTTTTATTATATAATACTATTATAAATTATTATGTGTACTTTGAAGAATTTAATTACGCAGTGTGCTGTGTGTCACAGATCCACTGGTCAGGGTGACCACAAACAAACGGAATACTCGCTTTCTTAGCAGATCCATTTTTACCGACAAAAATGTAGACTTTATCAGTAATAAGTTTGAAAAACCATTTCCCCGAAATATCATAAACAAAACTAGTTTAACGCTAAAGTGATAATAATTGATATCGTTACTTTATGATTAATATATTTGCTTAAACATATCTTTATACATGTAATGTTGAACAGCAGCTGTTCCTACAGCTAGCTCGTATATAATTGTGTCTTTGATGTCCATAATCCAAATTGTTCTAAATACATAACTATAACACTATCTTGCATGTACTAACCAACTAAGTTTTCAGTCGTGTATCAAAACCTAAATGATAAAATAGAATTGTGTACTAAAGAGTGTTCCGGTATATACGTAATTTAATTTATTAACACTTCAACCGATATATTGAAGGGATTAAAGGTTGGATTGGGAAAGAGGGAATGGAACCAGTGCCCAACACTGAAAGAAAAATAAATAATTATGTGAAGATAGAAGTTATATGATGGAATATTTAAGGTACAGAAAAGAATAATATTGTAGCAGCGACACGGTGGTGAGACGCAGGCTTAGTGTTCTCTGCGTTAGTCGCATTCGCATTTAACAGATAGACACGTGTGCGAACGTATTTTTATCAAAAAACCGGGCTTTGATTAATTTTAAAACTTCAATATACAAGCAACGGGATTTTGTCGTGATACAAATCAAAAAAAGTTTTTTTCTTAAATTGTTAAATATTTGTTGCAGAAAAAAAAAGTTGTTTTTTATTTGACAGCACTATAATTTTTACTTCACTGGGGTTTCAGTAGTATGTTTTTATGGTGACTACGAAGGATTAAAAGTCTATCATTGACAAGAGTTCGTAAAAAAGTTTTAAAAAAAACTACATGTTTTTTTCTGGTTAATTATATGTATAAATATATATATATATATATATATGTAGTTCATTAAAAGTTACATAGATAGTTAACAATAGAAATCAGAAAACAGATCATAGATATTTTACAATGATATAAAAAACAACCAAGGATGAAATGTAAAATTAATTTAGCCAGAATAAGTCATTATTGGTATTGTGGCTCCGGTGTACTAGGCAAAGAAGCTAAAAGTCTCAGAGATTCTTGGATTTTTTCTGGGATTGGAGGAGGAGTGGGCAAATGAGAGCCAGCCGGTTGAAATCCATTCTCATCAGAGGTGTAACCTGTGCTAATTACTGTGCCGTCGGGTGCTACATAAGAATAGCCACCCTGGATAACTTGAACAACGCCTGGACCATCCTTGGAAGCAGGACCTTGCTTCAGATAACCAATTTGTTCTTGTCTGATTTTGTTTTCAGTTTCAAACCTGTAACCATAAATACAAGTTAGTTTTTACATATTGTAATGATTAAAATTAATTGGCATAACAAGTTGAAGGAGAAAGGATTGTAAAAAAACGATTAAAACAAATTGAACATAGCTAAACGCAGATTAGTAGTATATTACTAAGGTTACATCTAGAGTGAAAGGTAAAAGGTAATATTTTAAATAGTTGTGTGCATTTTTTTTAATAATAAGGCTATGAAATATACTTCAATAGCCCGTATAAAATTTAGACAATTTTAAGATTACTTAGACATATATATTTCATAATTGAAATAAGATAGTTGTGTTAATTTCAAATAAGTCAAAGTTATTTTAAATTGGTAAAATAGTAAACGATTACTCGAATTATGTAAGATAACGATTACAGAATGGTTACATTGCGAATTAAAAAAGGTTTCTAAACTTAGTAGTGTTAGTTAATCTAAACTAAATTTATGTAAAATTGTAATTAAGAAGTTGTTTGTTTTACTTTAAAAGTTTGATTATCTTAGCAATGTAATGGCTTTTTTAGATATTCGTCTTTTAGCGTTATGATGTAATTTTATCCTTGAAATAATTAATTTCTCTGTTCCTTCTTATTTAATGTATTATATTTAATACAGAACAACAATTTATTTTCGACAATGTTATTCTTCTACTGTAAGTAACAGCTATATTATCACAAATCAAATTCTTCAACAACCATTTTTCAGTGTTAATACAAATTTTTCTATTGTGCTATCACTTCTAAATCAGCGGTTATACAACAGAATCGTGCGAAATATATCTCATTTAATAATAGATTAAGACTTGAAAAATAACGTTACAATTAAACTACCAAATGGTCGAAAGTAAAAACAAGCGTTTGAAAATTCCTGTTGTCTAAATTTTATAATTCACTAAGATTAAGTTGGCATTTACCAACTATTATTAGTGCTTCTAGTATGTAAATATTAAACATAAAACTATAATACGTGTGATTAAAATGAAAAACAATTAAATTGTAAACAATATTATTTAGTATATTACATTATTATTGCTTACGTGTTTTTGAATGTTCCATCTAGGTTTAATACTTGCTCTTGACTGATAATAGCGGCTTTGGATTCAAGGCTCTGTGGGAAAGCGTTGACCGCAGCGGCCAATAAAAGCGACGACACCACTAATGTAATCTAAGAAAATACAAAATATGAATTACCAGACAACCACTGTACATAAGTAGATTTAGATCTATACAAATAAAATGTATTGAACTCGGGAATTTACCTGCATGTTGAGAGTGTAAGGTTACAACTTATGATACGTTGTGCTGAAAAAAGTGCAATGTACAAAATATAATGCCGAATACACCTTATATATACAACACGTAAAGAAGGTTGGATACAATAATAGGGGCCATCATACCAGTTTATTATTTACCATATAATGGAGGCGGTACCATCTAGAAGGAAAGGTCGTTGTTATGTCAGTGAGTTACGAAAGCAGTCCAACGACATTTATTTTAGCACGTCTAGTGCACAATAAACAAGTTTTTGAAAAAATTATACACACACCCAAACTCAAAATGATTTAATCAATTTTGCCAATTAGGTATAGAGCTTACACAGTCAAATATTATGTCATATTAAATGTACATCTAAATTATCGTTTATCATGCAAAATCTACCAATTTAATTTCAAAAATATACTTTTTTAACTCTTTAACGGCAAATAAAAGCCCCTAAAAACTAGGTACATCGTACAAAAAAAAATAAGATAGTTATGATTTCATTTAAAATCAATATAGTATAATCCAACTTAAAGTATTTTCTTTCTTTTATACCAGTTGTTCATACAAGTCTATTTATCTCGACTATTTTTAATAATGGTTTAGTATTAGATATTTATTTAATTAATTATTAGTTGTACTCTTAGTAATAAATTCTAAATCATTACTAATAAATTAAAATTGTTTAACGTTGGTTCAAAAATATAGTATTTTTTATTTTTAAATACAAAGCTAAATTTCAAAACTGTAGAAATTTTCGTAAATTTTAAGAATTTCAAAAATGTTATGGCATAAAAAAATATCGAAGGCGATTTTCGTATATTACAGTAGTATATAAGTACCTTAGATCTTATTAGAACATCTTACTTTTCGGCGAAACACGTTTACGAATACCCACTCAAAATGTATATTATTATATGTTTATATTATATATATTATATGTTTAACTTTGTCTAAAAAACCATACCTCTATAATCTATATTTATTAAAATTCATAAAAGTCTAAAAAGTAAATTAAAAACTGTTATCCCTTACAGCAAACTAAAACTTTATATCACCGTTGAACTTTCTATGATGGCATATGTTCCGATTTGCGTGTCAAAGTTTAAAATATTTAGGGTATGCTCGGTTTTTAAAAAAGAAAAATGTACTTTCTTGAAATTTCAGTGTACTAACCCTATATGACTTTTTTCTAATAAAGGTTAAAATGTTGTATAATTATATACATTTATAAAAGACACTTTTTGTCTTCATACCAATCCTTAAATAAACAAAAAACAAGTAACGACTATATTCATATATGTTAAGGTAATGTATTAGGAAGTTTTAAGAAGATATCATTATTTAAAAATAATAATTTTAAATTGTGTAATTATAATTAAATTAGAAAAGTGTTGTGATAGTACCAAATTACAATAAAAAATTCAATAAAATTAACATTATTAATAGTAGAAAAATGAATAGTATGTGCATTGTCGATTGTCAGTATCATAAGAACTATTGTTATTGTTGGTTTTCACTTTGCATAAGTATTCAAAACAACGTAAAGGATCAATAAATCACTGCTGCTTTTTAAACATGAATTAATGATTTTATACTAAAATTAAATAACGTATAATCAATTCTTATTTACTTATAAGAAGATAAATTTGACATTATAAAAAAAAAAATTGCACAATCAAATACATTTTTATCCATTTTCGATCAAATTATTTAGGTCAACTCAAATTTTACACGCATCTATTAGCAATCTTGACTAAAATTTCACTTATGAAAATCGAGGGCACCTCCCTTATTAAGTATAAAGCAAAAGACTGACTTAAAGATTACTGTCAAAAAAGATTAAGCATCATAAGCTAAATGTTGCATACTTATCTCGTAACTTATACGTGACCAAGTACTACTATTATATTGGGATATACATTTTAATTTGTGTAGGTGTAAGAACCTCTTAACTAGGCAATCTATGCCACTAGCATTCCCACCTTCAATGCATATTATTAAATAAATAAATCATGTCTACAAGGAGAAAGTAAAATAAAAACGATATAAAAAGTAAGAATAAAAAAAGTCATTCGGTTGAACTTATAATATTCCTAATTCCTCCAAAATGAGCTTAACCCATACATATATAAAAATCAATTCTAGTTTTAAAATTTTCTATCAAAAATATTAATTTTAAAATAGGTCTGTAAAGTAAAAAACGATTTAGTTCATTTTTATATACGTAATCGATTAATTAATAATAACCTGACTTCGGAAGAAGGTGGGTAATAATATGCTTAAGTGAATATGTGTGCCTACTATGTATGTTTGTTTGTTCCTATTTCCATTTTTAAACTCTACTAGACCGATTTTGATGATTTCAAACTAAAATGATTTGTGAATTCTCAGAAATACTTAAAGAAATATTAAAAAACCTTGAATAACTCGCGACGAGTAAAAAAGTGGCGAACAATTTTTTATTGCGTTTCTCCGAATTTGTAATAAAATTGCCTACATGTACTCCTTACTTTAATAAACATTGGCAGTAATAATATGAATAATAGACCACACTTATACCTATCTTTCGGGGCCCTTTTAAAGAAGCATTTTTGTTCGTCAGTTTTACTACCTCAGTGCCCTATTTTTTTGGATTTTTACATTACATATGCTAGGGTAGTAATTGTTAATAAAACGTCCTTGTGTCACAGAGTCGTTGTTATGTGGCGTGAGAAATCTCACGTCAGATTAATTTTTTAAGGATTTTTGCAACTATACATTACTATCTCTATGGTAGTTGATCCTAGCTAAGAACAATTCTGGGTCATTCCATGCCAAATAGGTGATGTGTGTGCATATAAAAACGAAAAAGTGAAGAAAAAATTTTGACTTAGACAATGCTATGTTCTGTAAATTAGTTGTAAACACACCTTTAGTTTAAGACCACGTTACTTAATAAGGAATTACTACATCAAAATGGAACTTATACTGAACAATTGTATAAGTATCTAGTATCTAGTATAAGGGTTCTTTTTCATAGAATCCTTAAACAATTTTTTTTTTCAAATTTTTTATAGCTGAAAGTTGAAAAACAAATTTGAAATTTTATAACTCAAAGTCAAAGTTTCAAAAAAAAATTATTTTCTGACACGTCATTATACTATATACTATTTTGATACATTACTTAAATGGACAAAAAAATTTATCAAGTATTCAAAATGGAATGTTACGAAAAAGTGCTATATTTGAGAGCTTACAACTCCATAGGGTGGAAACAAAAACTCTGAAATTTGATTCAAGATATTCAATATGATATTTTTTATTAGGTTTTACTTTAACCATTAAAATTAATTTTTTAAGGGGTCCAATTCCCTTATAATAGTTTATTTTTTACGTTGTCCTTAAAAGGTTTTAAACCCTATGATAATTCCGAACTTTATGAAAAGATACAAATTAATTTTGACTAACGTGTTTTGAAAGAAACTAATTTTTTTATTTACTTCCTCAAACAAAACTATTTCGTTTTAAAATTAGACGATTTGTATTATTTTTACTAAAGAGGACACATCCCTAGTTATTAGGAATCGGTATAATCAATTTATTGCAAAATCTTAGCTTTAAGCTAAAACTAAAGTATACATTTCTAATTAAAGTAATAAGGATTCATTATTGGTAATTAATTATATTATGAACTTATCAAAATGCTCACAAAAATATTTTTAAATATTTTTTAACCTAAACAGCTTTTATAGAACCCATTTTTCGGCATGATGGTTATAAATTAATTAACTGTTGAGGAGTAAAGTATAGGATATTATTTTGCAAAATCTTAATTTAGAGATTAATTTGTATTGTATACAGTAATAATGTAGTAAAATATGATTCATTATTGTTTGTGATTTTTTTTTCTCAGACTATCACAGTGATTCTTAAAAAAAATTCAATTTGTCTCGCAAAAACAGTTTCAGGCGAATCAAATGTTTTGGAATTGTAAAATCACCAAATTTTCACAATATAAGAATGAGAAATTATCTTTTCTCCAGCGTTTTTAAATTTTCGATAACTTAATCCACTAGTTTTTAATCATTTATTAAAAAATACTAAAAGTATCTACACTCTAAAAAAATATTTAAAAAAAAATGTTATCTGTCAAAAAAATGCCTTGCTTTCATTCATTATACAATTCTTTCTTTTTTTTTTATGAAAATTTGGTAAATTTTAGTACTATCATAGCCTCTACAGTATTCGTTCGCGCAAACATGTTTTCATATTATAAATTTACGAGTAGGTAGTTTCCTATTAAATAAGAATTAAATTGATCTTTGACCTACATATTTTGTTTAAAAATAACAGAAGTAACATGCAATTTTTAAAAAAGTAATGCCTGTGACAGCTTGTAAAAGTATAGTTATAAGATAAGTACACATAGATAGTCCATGGACATTGGGCATAGTACAGCAACCGATATGATATCATTACAAAATTAAAGCAAAGTATAGGTTTACGTCCTACATTGGATTGTCATAGGTTATAAAATTATATGACGTGGTCTAGCTATGTGTGTTCAATGTAAGGTATTGGTATATTATAAGTAGCTTGAGTTAATACCTATCAATATTAATATTAATACAGGTAAATAATTATCATTCATTAATTATTTTAAACTAAAAGTTCAATAATAGTATAATAAAATATTGCTAAGCATCTAAAGTATTACAAAAGAAATGCTATAATTGAAAATCAAGAAACTAAAAAAAATAGAAGAATACATTTTTTATTTTTAAATTTTAAAGTAATAACAACTTAAGACCGACACTTTTAAAATCACTATTCATTTTTAAATTCTGTCTTTGGTAACAAAATGAACTGTGACGTATTGAGGGGGGAAGGGCGATCGCCCATGGGCGGCACTTTTTACAATTTTTTTTAATTACGTTTCAAATTTCGATTAACATAAATATTGTCAGTGCTGATTCTGATTCTAGCAATACATACAATTATACAAACATAATTAATTAGTATTTAACGGATTCTATTATTTACACGTATATTTCACTTCCAGTTCTATATTATATAATCTATTAGATGATATTGCAATTGTACAAATTTAAATAATAATGTTACTTATTTATTGTTTAAGTTTGACTTATACAATACCAGTAACTCTTAAATCAGGTGTGTCAAAGGCAACGTGATATATACGAATAAACGATGCATTTAAAATGTTAATGTATGTATATAACTAAACAAAGTTCAAATAATTAATTTCAGTGTAGAATGTTATAAATTAGGTTGTGTGTCAAAGGTATTCCAGAAAAATCAAAACGCTTAAGTGTGGCCATAATTACTTTATAGTGTTTATAAATTAATAAAATTACATATTTTAGTTATATCACTTTTTTTAATAACCTAATGCAGAAGCACTTGGTGTTTTTTTATAAGCTGCTGCACCCTGAGTTTGGTAGCTTTGCTGAACTCTATAACCTTGATTATTATTTGAAGCTTGTCCATAAGGCGAAGCAGTGTTTGTTTGTTCAATAGCTTCGCTGCCGTATCCAGAACTTCCTTGGGACTTTTGGTAAGACTTTGAAGTTGAAGTGGATGCTTGTCCGTAAGAACTTCCAGAAGCAGCCTGGCTATAAGACACCGGAGTTGAGGTCTGTCCATATTGCCCAGATGCTGAAGCCTGTTTATATGATACAACGTTGGATGCCTGGTTATATGCTCCAGGTGCAGAAGTTTTACTGTAAGCTCCAGGAGCGGATGTCTGTCCATAAGATGCGGAGTTGGAAGTAGGACTGTAAGCTTCTGATTCCTGTCCATATGAAGTAGAAGCTCCATTTGGTCCATACGCAGCTTGTTGTTGTTGAGCAGCTTCTTCAGCAGCGTTCTGTTCTAAGGACTGAAGAATTTCCGCAGGAATAGGTGGTGATGTAGGAAGATGATCGCCTTTTGGTACGAATCCATTTTCATCAGCTGTGTAAGTCAATGTAATCAATTTTCCATCTTCACCTGGGTAGCTGAATGATCCGTATACTGATTGAATTCCTTCTGGCCCACCCGGCTTAAGTTGTCCGTACTCGGAGACCGAAATACCATTACCAGTCTCGTAACTAAATTATAAATTAATACAAATATTACTATTTAATGCGCTTATTTGATTAAACTATAATCACCTGTATGAATAAGAACCGTCTCCAAGATTTGGCTGGTTTGTCTGCGATAAAATAGGAATAACTTCTACAGGGCCGGCGATGTTGCCTGGGGCAAACGCGTTAAATCCATTGCTGGCTGGTTTATACAGATCAGATGTTTCAGAAGAGCTGGTGCTTTTTGTTTCGTACTCTGAACCAGATTTTTGGTACAAAGCCGGTGACGATTTTTGAGAGTAACGTTGACTGTACGCACTTGGTGACTGGTATTGCAATGATGAAGCGGGAGACTGATAAGATGATGTAGCAGTTGACTTAGAGTTGTAAGTTGGCGACGGATAAGAGGATTTAAAACTTTGTATGTTTGCCGGTGCAGTTTGAATGGGTTGATAAGAAGAAGATGAACCAGATTGGTAGCCAGATTGAGTACCCTGAGAGTAAGATGAAGCACCAGACTGGTATGCGGTTTGTGCGTTCTTTGAGTATGGCGGAGACGCCGAAGAAGATTGGTAGTATGAAGGGGTAGTTTGAGTATTCTTTGTGTAAGGTGCAGCATTAGACTGATAAGCAGCCCGTCCCCCAAATTGAGCACCTGATTGGTAACCAGGCTGTGCAGCAGATTGATAACTAGGCTGTGCAGCAGATTGATAACTAGGCTGTGCAGCAGATTGATAACTAGGCTGTGCAGCAGATTGGTATCCAAACTGTGGTACTGAAGGAGCAAAAGTTTGGTAACCAGATTGGGCAGCGGATTGATAACCAGACTGCGGGCCCGAAGGAGCCGCAGACTGGTATCCAGTTTGTGGACTTAAAGGAGCAGCAGATTGATAACCAGACTGCGGGCCTGAAGGAGCCGCAGACTGATATCCAGTTTGTGGACTTAAAGGAGCAGCAGATTGGTAACTAGACTGTGGACCTGAAAAAGCAGCAACTTGGTAACCAGATTGGGTACCAGATTGATAACCAGACTGCGCACCTGAAGTAGCAACATATTGGTATCCAAATTGTGGACCAGAAGGAGCAGCAGGTTGATAAGCAGATTGGGCAGTGGATTCATAACCAGACTGCGAACCTAATGATGCAAAATTAGGGAATTGAGTAGATTTGTATGATGGAGATAGTGTTGACTGCTGATACGATCCAGCACTAGCTTGATAACCAGAAGGGGCACTTGAAGAGTAAGCTGAAAATGCAGATGAAGGTTTTTGATATGATCCACCATTTGATTGATATGTACTAGATGGTAAAGGAGTAGTTAAAGCTCCATAACCAGAAGATGCATCGGTATCATATCCTTGTGGTTTTGCCGCCACATAAGCGATTAGTGATATGATTAAAAACTGAAAAAAGTGGTATAAAACATATATTATTTACATTTATTTATTTTGACATATTGTGATTTGGTTAAAAAGACCAAATTTTACATGTTATGTGATAGTAGTATTTAATTATCATTAAAATGGCGAATGAAATAGTACTTTTAAAATATTGACATTTTTTTGGGGTTTAACTCGATTTTATTTAGTACACAAATAATTATACATACATTCGAAAATAATAAATATTATTTTAGAAGTCATTCAATCTATTTTTTTTAATTTTCTCTATACGTCTAGAAAAATAAAAAAAAAACTGACAATTTTTGTAAAATATAACATTGGGGAATTGCAAAATAACTATGCAGTTTTAATAACATTTTTAAATTTATCAACTAATTAAGACAACTTCTAAACTTTGAAAAACTACTAAATGGATTTGGTTTGATTAAAATTAATGTATCATTTATAAATTAAATTAAAGTTAATTTGAAAATTAGATAGATCTTGGAACCACAAAAAAAAGGCAGATTTCATCTTCACTATGTCCAAATAAAAAAAAACAAATTTTCATAACTGTATTAAAGAAAAAATAAAAAAAAATATAACAATTTATGTCCTTTTAATATTTATATGATCACACATTTAAATCCATTTTTTACAATTCATCAAAACAAATAAATGTAACCAAGATATCATTATAATATGCGTATTACAACATTTCATTTTAGGTAAACGAAATTATAAAAAAGTTTATTGTTTATCCAGAAATATACAATAAAATATTAATTCTTGTAAAAACAGTATACATTTTTTTTCTTATTTGCTTATGTTTAACAATTGCTGCACGTTTTTACTGTCGTTGTCTATACTGTGGGAAATAATGGTAGAATGTTTATTTAGATATACTAGTCACGTTTTGTAAAATATATAATACTATTTTTTTGTCGTAAATCCTTTTAGAATTTTTATATTTATTAACTAATAACTAATTCAGTATTTTATAATATTATGTACTAATGCTGACCCAAATATGTAAAATACAAATTATAAAATCTGTTTATTTCTTTTAAATTCTAAATATTATTTAAAAAATGACACTATTTTATTTCAACTATATATTATACATATTTATACACATAATATTTTCATTTTATTTTCAAACAAGCTTAGTTATATGAAAATAATAATGAAATTTTTTTTTAATTCATTAATAATTTTTATCAAAGATATTAGAACATTTATTAAATTTTTTTTTTTGTAATTTTAATAATTTGAATTGCTAAGATGAATACAAAACTCATATGAAAAGTGTCTATGAGTTTAATTTTTATTTTATAGAACTGGATAACGAACATACAAGTCCCGATTGCGTACACATTATTTTTCTGAATCATAAAAAAAAAAATAAGAAATATATTTATAGATCCCAATTTTAATTTACCAGCGATAGATTAGCAGCCAAGATTATTCTCAAATCAAAAGAAAAACCCCTGCCTAAGCCCGTCTTAGAGATAGGTTTATAGAACATTTTATTATTATAAAACATTTTTAAGTTAACTACCCCACGATTTTTCTGATTATATTTAAGTCATTAAAATGTTTAAGAAATTATAAAATTAGTGCAGTTTGTTATTTAAGATCGCTATCTAAAAGTAAGATGTCAACTAACTCAACGCTTAGTTCCGTGTTCCATTATATTTTACTTTGTGTTTGATAACTTAACATTTTAGCTGTATTAAACATTTTACAGTCACTATGTGATATGAAATTTAGAATGTGCGGATTGCTTTCGGAATGTGTACAATTAGGAATAAGTGTATTTGTGTTATGAAAAAAGGCAGCATAGCGGGGTCAAGACATAGTGAGAGAGTTGTTAAACATTTTACAGCTAACACAATAAATCTATATTCAGTCTAATTTTCATACCTTAAATCACAAAATTACAACCAAGAAAGTGAAATAAAGAAAAAGTTTCCACTCTCTCTAGAGGAAAGCAAAGAGGAAGAGTTTTGATATATATCTGGCTTGTCAATTTATAGTTTTTTTGAAAAAGTTATAGTACGCCGTTATTAAGATAAAAATATATACGTTATTTGGATGTTTACCAGATTTTGTAGGAGATATGGTGGACTACTATTTTATAGAGATCACAAGTTTGTTTTGGTCTCTACTTTAAATAAAATTTTGTTTATAAAATATTGCAATTGGTTATTTTAAGATTAAACAGTTTTTCACCTTGTATTACCCAATTTTTTTCTTCAAAAATATTTAAAGAAAATTGTTATCATTCTACTTTTTCTTCAAAACGCTTAGTATGAAAAAAAGTTTAAATAAATTAAAATGTTTTAATTGAGTTAAGTAATGTTCAAGTTCTAAATAGTGGTGTGGGGTGGGCGTAGTCTCGAGTAAATCAAAATATATTTGTGTATTTAGAAAAACAATTATAACAATAAAACCCGTAAATGACAAAGGATAATATCCCTAAAATAACTAGAAAAATTTAAACTATAATATAAGTGGTAACACTTTCTGATAATATTTGCAAATAATCGCATGTCTTTGTAAGCTCAATAGTTACTCTAGGAAAGTCTTAAACAACACAAGTAATTATATATTTTATTATTTTATCAATAGTTACTGATAAGAGATAACACAAAGTAAAGCTTTCTGTAACTATATGAATACGAAACCTATTATGTTTCACGCACATTTAATAAAACATAAAAGCAAAATTGAATCTATCTGCTATCAAATACATAAATAGTTGGTTGAAAAACTTACCGTTTTCATGTTGATGATAGTTATGACTTTGCGTGTGGGATGTGGGTGTTCGAATCCCATATAATATTCACATCCACGTCTATAACTGAACTGACAATGTATCCGCTAACCCACGTTCATATATATATACTCAAATGATGGAGCTGGGTAAATGAGAGCGTTAACGAATCGCGGGAAGGTGAATCGTTTATCCCCTCTCTTAGGGACCGATCGAATTTGGATTTACAATGATTTTTTATTATGACATGGCACGACGGGCAATAGACTAATTAGACCCACGAGCCTCGCGTGACAGGTGTAAGACGCCGTCATCACTGTAAGGACTATGCCTTGATAATCCAATGATTAATCAATGAGTATAAACACAGCATCCACCCACCGACGGCAACAACGGCCCAGATATGTACCAGATGACCTAAAGCAAAAATCCGTCGCTGATGATGACACTCACTGGGATATTATTATGATATTATCAATAAAATACCATAGACACGCTTGTATACGCAAAGACAGATTGCCGGCGAGAGAACGGCGAATGAATAATCGTTGACAGCAGGTTGAAAATTCCTTAACATTGCACTCTGATTGATAATATTAGATCATCATTACTCTTGCCATATAAATTTCGACACTACCATTCGTCAACGAGGTAAATACAATGCCGAACTTAAACCATTTCTGTATATTTAGCTTACTTAAATAACTTAATATGTTCATAAGGGATCAAACTTTTCAATGCCCTATGAAACTAAACTTTAAACCGCGTATTATACATTTTTACGATTTTCATAGTACGTATAGCATTTATAGCATACACAATCATTAAATGAAAATTAACTAAGTACAACAATACTGAACGAAAACAATTAAGTAGATACCAAAAAAATCACCTGAAACCTCTGCTATCGGCAATTATTGGTATTCAGTTAATCGAACACAAGTTAAACGAATCAGTCTCATAAGCAATATTATTATTATATGTAGATGCTCCTTTAAAACTACATTAGTTTAACCGTTAGACGTATTAGTTAAGATTTAGCAGTCGGCCATAATTTATTAATGTTAAACTAAACGCTAAATTAAACTATCAACGAAGACCATTATGTACTATTATGTCGGAATAAAGGAAATTTTTAAACAATATCAAACTCAAAATATAAATATAAAATTATATTAAAAGTTTTATAAGACTTTTAAATTATAAATAAAAACAAATCTCAGTAAAATGTCAAAAGATGACAGCCATTTTTTTTAATTATTAAAACAACGTATTTTAACTTTTATATCGCTATTAAACCCCTAACAAAAACAAAAAGCTTTATGTACTTACAACTTATCTACAACTTTGAACTTTGGTAGTGCTACATTCTACATTTATAATTTTAAAAAGAAACGGAGTTCCAGATATTAGTTTCAACGATAGTGGTTGATGATATAAATATAAACAATAAAACATAATTCTACATTTTATTATGTTTTTCATAACAAATGATATTGTAATCTTATAGGAAATTATAAATGATTTATAATGACGCATACAATGTTGAACTTGAAAGACTGCCAACGTATTTTGACAGTTAAGGTGCAACCTACACAATATGTTTTTTATTACCTTACAAATCATGAACATTATTATTTTCCTGTTCCGTTCAATGGTTAAAACTAATAATTTTGTAGATGATCTTTCTTCTATATTTGTATATTAAATAAACCTAACCTAACTTATATTTGATTATTTAATTGTGTTTTGTACCACTCACTTTTAGTAATTTGTCAAAGTTAAGTTTATTACTCATTGTTCCGACACAATTTATAGTATGGTAACATTAATACAAATATCATCGAGAGCTACACAGGCGGGTTCTAAGAAAAAAGTAAAAACATAATAGCTTCAATTGATTTATTCCGTGACTATTCTCGTGATGTTAACGTATTGGGCTTGGTTAAAAATTAGAATTGGATCTAGAGACAATTTGTAATATACAGATTTCAGATCCTTCAAAAAAAATCAATGGAATGCATTTCCTACTATGTCATAGATTCAAGATAATAAATTAGAAATATTACCTTCAAATATATTGCAATCGATTAATCAACACTCTTCATCGAAAATATGGTAGAATTATTTTATGTTTGTTTACAGCACTGTTAAAAGGTTTGATATACATCTAGAAAGGAATAATATTAAATATTCAACTTAGACTTGTGATTATCACGAAATCGTGACAATAAGCACGGAAAATATTAATTTCTAGTCAACATTTGTAATTACAGTGATGACCTTTAGTTTTTAATTTTTCTATTTGTACTATAGTAAAATAACTAATAATTGTATATACTTGATATTTAATATGCAATAACGCCGCAAAAAACTTCTGAGAGTCTACATTTGTTTTGGAAATGTATAGGATATAAAACTGTTATAGTAAAATTCTTTAACTCTAGCCACCATATGCCACCATAGTAAAAAATGTTTTTAATTTAAATTGTTTTTTTTTTATTTTAATGTCACACACATGGGTTTTAATAAGTAGTTTTAAGTAGTTTAGAGTTAAAACACCTATTACCAAAGCTTACGTTGCCAGATTTTTCAGCTAGTTATACTATTAAAGACAAATTGAATATTGATAGTTATATTATTAAAAATAACAATGGAGTATAAGTATTTCAGGACTGCCGGGGACAATAAAAGGTGTAGCCGTGTAGGTATTAAACAGAGGCTTAGCTTAAGTGGAATTCCCACTAAATAAATGAAATACAGATGTTATATACACTTGTTTATATAACAACTTCATTACTAAACTCAATTTTAAAAATCTTACATTGGCCGATTTTAAAAATTGTGTTTAGTAGTATGAAGTTAAAGATAATTAAAAATGTGCTATACGTTTTTGTTAAATTTATCAAAAATATACAGCTGTACAGCCATTAAAAGTATTATATTTTTTGAATTTCTTAAATAAATATTTATTATGTAAAATTTTAAACCATCATACCCAAAAATAGGTTCTTTATTTTTAGCGAAGCGGTATTGTGAGCGCTGTGATAATCTTATAAAATTTTGATTGCCAATAAAGCAGAATCCACTTTAATGACTAATAAATATAAATTTTAGTCTTCGCATAAAACTTAGAATTGGTGAAAAATGTCCTATACCAAAATCTTAAAAATTAGAGTTGTCATTTTAAAATCTAAAATTTGACGAAAGGTGAATCTAGACCTCTGTCTGATATCTCTTGTAGATAACAATAATATTTGTACTTATGAAATATTTGATAACGTACCGAAATATAATTAAACAATTCTAAAGATATTATAAGGAATATGCCTATAGCCTAATTCGTTTTTATATTTCACCAAACATAAACTCAAATACATTAATAATTTTTATTTAAAAAATAATTCTAGTGTTACAGACTTGAAGTTTGGTACACTATACATAATTTTATAAAATACTCACAATTTTCCATAAGTTCAATAATGTATTTTTATAATAATTAATTAAAGCAAAAATTAAATTTATAATCTAAATACATAATACGCCCCTGATTAATTGTTGAACGCGAAAGTCATTAGCCGGAAATGGCTCATAACCCTAATTGTAGTCAATTATAGTTTTTTTTTTTAATTCTGATTTTTTATTTTTAAGTAGCTGAACGTTGAAATTACTATTTATTTTCAAAGCCATTCTGGGATATTATACTCGATACTGTAAATCGAATTACACATATACGTATACAATGTGTTTGTTAAGCCAATCAATATTATTCATATTTAATTTTTTTTTTTTTTTTTAACGTTAATAAAAATATATACCCTAAGTATTTTTTTTTTTTAAATACCAGTTAATAATTATACTTGGTTTAAACATATTTTTGTTTATAAATCATTCATTGTCACACCATTGTTTTCTACGTCAGGTTTTAAATCTCGTGTAAACGCAACAGATAGTTTGCTCTAACCTAACTGTCAAACAACGGATACTGGTTACATTAATTACTTTCAAATCCGACATGCTATGCATAATACATTGATATTTTTTATGTGGTTAGTGAGTACAGTTTTACATAAAATATTATAAACGCTTTTTATTAAATTTAATGTTTTGCGCTGCAAAGTATTTTCAACTACAAATACAGCGTAACATCGGTAAATTAATGTAGTAGGTAGATCTCAACAGGCAATATCGACGATGAATATATTTTTGCTAATTTTTAAATGTTGTATAATGACCGACATTAATTAAATGGTACGCATTAGTTATAAAAGTGCTGGGCTTCGATTTTTGCAACGGTTTTATCGTGCAATATTGTATCCTATAATGACTTTTTAATCATGCACTTTTTCCCTTCACGGATACAACCAAGGTTGGAGTATTACGGTTTTGTAAACGAATCAGTTTTTTAATTAGAGATAGGTTGTCTCCTGTTAAAAAATAAAATACTAGTGTCGAATAAATTGTTTAACGCTCGAACCGCCCATTCATTCCAATTGGGAACGGTAAAAAAAATCCACGAAGGCGCAAAAAAAAATGTTAATTGAATGATAATAAAAATCGCCGTTACGAAGCTATTTTGTTCGTGTCGGTACAACCAGTCTGCAATGGTCATCTCTGTATTCTTATGAAACAAACTATCACGGACGCCTTGGGCATTGTGGAAAATTAGCGAATCGAGCCACTCGATAAAACCAGAACAAGTACTTGCAATATCATTTACATTGATACGTTCTTATCGACGGTAAAAAAAATAAGTCAGTGCGTGCGAGCGACCACTCTGAAAAAAATAAAAATAAAAATACTTTATTTAGGAACTGGTTTTTGGATACCCGGGATGTGCACGAGCCCTCGATCAAACCGTGACGCAATCCCCTATGTACCCATGGATGATAATTTTAAGGTCAGTATTTTGTAAGCATTTTACTAGTAAAGTAGATACTAAATAGTTAATATAAATCTGTAAAAAAAATCGTGCTAAATGCGATCCAGGACGATAATAACTTTTGAAGGTTCCTTGTCATCAACGTACGCCGCGTCGTTAAACCTTGTAGTCACTCAATCAGGTACATTCCGCCCACGTCTCGTTTTAGTAATTATTACTAAATGAATATTACAATAATACATATCCATAATATTATATAATTATTATAATAACTATAATGACACGCCTTAACGTAACGTAGAAAGGTACCCACAGATCATTCATTTGTTATTACAGCAACGGAACAGACTATCAAGTGTCCATTGACCATACATTATATAAAGCAACCAAATTTATTAATTTATGATAAAATTAATTTCATAAAATATAATTCATACATAATAAAATTATGATATCGCATGTAATACACTAAACTTAGATAATTAATTAAATGTATTATAAATAAATCTATATTTGTTTATCATATTTATAAACTAGTATCGTGGTGGTTGAAGTGTACGATGCATAATAGGATATTGAAAGTACCGTCCTGGTTGACCGGGTTGTAACAGCCATAATAGTTGAGGTTCCACGCTAATTTGACTTGGTAGTTCAGCTGAGCGTTGTTGATTGAATTGCACCGTCTGCTGCGGAGAAACCCCATAAGGTGTCCTTCCACCAACTCGCTGTGGATTGCCTAACGAATTTACTCTCTGAAGTACCGGTGCTATCTTCGATTGAGACGACACATCTTGGAAGTTTGTGGGCCGAAGAACTGGAACTAATTGAGGTTGTTCAATAGCAAGTTGAGGATGATCTGAAACTGTTGGTTGAGAAGGTCTGGACGGTTCATATCGTTGATCAGACTGAGAGCTAGGTCCTCCTTGGAATACGACTTGGGGTTGCTCATTGACGACTGGCTGTACAGGTCCTACAGGATCGAAACTTTGGCTGAATTGAAAATTTGGTGTTTCTTGTGGCGCGAATTGGTGTTTCTCTACATTAATCGGTTGAGCTGATCTTATGGGTTCATATTTATTACCAGGTAGAGAGTTTGGTGCTCCTTGTAACACGGCATTAGTTTGCTCGGTATTAACTGGTTGGATGGATCTAAATGGTTCGTAATTTTGATCGGTCTTAATGTTTGCTGCTCCTTGAATGGTGACTTGGGGTAGTTCCGCCACAGTGCGCTCGGTTGATCTAATCGGTTCAAAAGGTTTTTCGGGTTTAATCACATCAGTGTTTTGAAATTCCTCTCTAGGTGGTTCAGTTATAGTTCGCTTAGTAGATAAGAATGTTTCAAACTTTTTTTCTGGAGCAGGAGTTACCTGTCTTTGAAATTCGGCTCCAATGTAAATTTTTTGTTTAAGAACGGGTTCTTGAATTGACTGATCCTTAACGGGTTGTCCAATTGCATCACTACCGTCAACACCTCCAGGTTGATTTCCCTCTTTGTTAGCTGTAGTTGCTACCACTGTAGAAGACTTCCGCTGGTCTACGTCAGAACGGTCATTTAATATCACTTGTTGCTGATAATCGGGCTCTCTTAATTGAATCTGTCCAGGGTGATTTCCAGAGACATCAAACGGATTCTGCTGTGGCTGTACCACATCAGTCACAATGACTTGTTGTTTATTTTCCACTTCTGGAATGACCGGCGTTCCGGTATCTACTGATCTAAACTGTGGTCGAGAAAACGGTGCTGAAGCGGGGTTTTGTCTGAATGATAAATTCTTGACGAGAGTCGGAGCTGTTGGAGCTACAGGTAAATGTGCGCCATAAGCTCTGAATCCGTCAACCCCTGCTGTATAAGTAACTTCGATGGGGGTGCCTTCCGGGGATATATACCTATACGACCCCACGACAGAGTTCGCTTGGTTCTCTGCCCCTTTGTTTAAAACCTCCCCACGTTCTTCAGCATAAATACCATTAGCAGTCTCATATCTGCAAGATAAAACAAATCAGTCTAAAATATAAAATAATTCCACAAGACCATACAAATCGTAAATAAAACAATAATAAGTCTAAATCAGTTACTGCCGTAACTTGTTTTATTGCAAAACCCCTGTAGGTATTCTTTATTTTAATAGAATATAGGAATATTAATAGTAAAATACTGAAAGATGAGTCTAAGTTAGGTTATTAGTTATTTTATTATATTAACAATATAATAAAATTAATTAGTACATCAATAAAATATTTATATCCATACACGATATGGCTCACGTGGTGCAACATAATCTATTATAAGTCGTAAATGTTACACACAAATCTTTTAGCGTATATTTGCTAGAAAATAGACACAATTAAATCGCCTAGTTTTTATAAGTGTAAAAACGAGCAAACGTGTTCATAACGAAGGAGCTCACCGATTTCGAAATAATTTGTTTTTTATTGTTACAGTTTAAATTTGGAGAAAGTTAATATAATTTCATAAATTTAATAAATACGAATTCAAATTTTAAAAATAATTTCTTTCCATTTTACTGGAATTCGTTTTATTTATATTAGATATTTTGTATACAATTTGTTTGATTTATTTGGTTATTTAATCAAAAATCCTAGGTCAATGCGCTAGGTATGGTCCCTAATTCCTTAAAAGTAATTTTTCAAAACCAAAATGGTTGTAACTCAAATAAATAAAAAATATTCGTTAGAAATAATACTTTGTACAATGTACATAATATACATCAACCGTAATCATAATTTAATAAATCGAGTTTTGTTTTGAAAAATGTTTTTCAAATATGACCCATATTTTTACTCCTTGGCGAATAACCAGAGCTAAGACTCTTAACATTCTAATAACTTTCTAAGTTAAGGTTAAGTATAGACTTCATAAACAATTAGCCTAAATAAATAGGTTTTCAGGCCTTAGTTAAAATCCAGATTATAAAATAGATTTGCATACTAAGCGTGTATTCGTAATAATTTATTTAAATTTGGATGGGTTATATACGGTATAATATGATATTCCTAGAAAATTACCAATTCACTAAACAACTGTCTTAGGAGAACATAACACGTCGTTATTCGTGCAAAAACAAGGAATAGCATTCTGTACAGTGTACGCATCTCTGAACATAATATTTATCACATACAAATGATGTTTACATTAACAGAAAAATACTCTGACGAGTTATGTTTTAATTTTATGATGGTTTATACTAATTTAAACAAATTCTTTTATTAAACTCAAATGATGGTATTAATTTAAAATTTTTCTAAACAGCTTAACTTAAAGACCCAGTATTCTCTTTACTTTTCCAAAAATCTATAAAGTATTTTCGTAATTTATGGTAAAGTATTATTGGGAAAGCGAGATGCTCTATTTTGAGAAAAATAAGTATAGTAGAGGCCTTTGATAATCTAATAAATTTATAAAAAATTCTCATTACTGTACAAATAATCCAATACTATAATTATTATAGTTTTGTACAAAAAAAAAGTAATTATTGTGACAAATTGCCTACACGTAAACCCCTAAAGGAGCGGTATGTGGCATGCTCTTAAGAAGACGTTATCCACCTAATTAAGGAGTAAAGTGTAGACAATTTTTCGCAAAATCTTAATTTCGAGAATAAACTATAGTGTATACTGTATACGGTAATGAGAATTCTCTATTGGTTGTTAATTTTTTGTCAGACTCATCAATAACAGTTTTGCGAGAATTAAAACCTAAGCGCTTTGGAATTTTTGTAAAACCATAAAATTGTCAAAATAAAATAAGGGAACTTTGTTTGTGCTTGGACGTTTTTAATTTTCTATTACTGAACCCACTAATTTTGAATTTTTTTAAAAAAATACTATAAAACCTAAAATTCATAAATAAAAATATACTTGATGTATCAAAAAATTGCCACGCTTAAGCCTAGATAATATTTTTGTGACTTATTTTTTTAAAACTTAATACATTTATTCAATAAATAATTTTACCTATAATTGTAATCACCATCTAACGAGCTCTCTCTTGCGTATAAATATATGGGTACATAGTCTTGTTTTATTGCGTCTGTTCTTTGTTGCAATGTGTTCTTTACAGTTGACGGCTTAGTGGACTGCGTTTTTTGCTTCGAAGACTGGGCTGATGCACACGCCACTACTAAACCCAAAATGGCGTACTTCTATTATAACATAAAAAAACATAAATTATTAAAATTAATTAAATTATGTACCGTTTTTAAACTAAATAAATTAAATTACGTATCTTAATAATAATTTAAGTAATTTAAATTCATAAAATACCTAATGAATTTAACTAACCAAAGTGGTTCGTTATTTGTCTATTTTCAACGTTTTTTTTTATTGTCAGTCTTGATTAATAATTGTCTAAAAATCATAAATCATCCTATTTGTCTGTCATACCACACCATCAGGACATAAGTGTAGAAAATCAAAGAACGTATTAAATGATAAATAATAATTATGCTTAACGATTTTATTTACATTCTATAATCATTTTTTTAATATTTTAAATTTATTTTATGTTTTAGTTATGATACACTTTGTATACTATTTGTTTTATTATAGATTAAATATAGTATTTTTATTTTTTAATGTATTTTCATAATCATCAAATGCATAAAATCTTATTATTTTGATGATGCTTAAAAAACAATAGTATAAAACGTACCAGATGAGCTTTTTTTATACAATGACTAATTACATCTGAATTCAAAAATAAAAATTTATATTTGTAATTCAAAAAAGTAATAAAAATAATGATATTAGATTTATTATCATAAACTCACAACTTACTTTGTTATAACAATATTTTTTGAATATTCTTTAAACTTTAAGAATACCAGTAACTACAAACAAAATAGGACGTTTTAGAAGTAAGCAGGTTTTTAAGCCTAAAATTAGGGATTTGTAGCGTTCTCTTAATTATATGGTTGTGTTATATTAATATAATGTGTATATGAACTAAATACGATTTTTTTTCGATTTCTAGCATGAACTATTTGTTTGTCCATTCCATTAAGAATGATAAGATAAAAGAGGAGAAGAAAAGAAGATTTTACAACTACAATTTATTGTTATAAAAATATCAAGTTTTATAGTATAAACTTTATAGAAAAACAATCCACATTTAAAAAATTTAAAAACAAATTAAGTAGAAATATAAATTTTGGTTTCATGAAAATCGTAATTATTTGTTTTTTTTATTTACTTTTTTTATTTTACTGTTAACAAATAAAAACATAATAATAATTATGAACACGCGAAATACAGCTAAAATTAAAAAAAGTTATAATATCATGCGTAAAATAATCCGTTTAAAGTTACTCACCAGAATCCCCATGCTTTAACTGTGTATTGGTTTTTATTAAACTATCGGAGAAAGATTATTATTTTCACTTTCTTTACCAGCCTATTTATACGTCAGCTCACGGCCAAGGCTAGACTCGGGCAAGTTCATGTAACATCCGAACCTAGCCGGGCAGTGGTAGGGAAAAATAACCACTTCCTTTAACAAATACAGGAACATTAAAATGCATCAGTTTATCCGAAACGTATAGAAAAATAACAAACTGCTCGGTGGGTATATTATGCAATCTGTGATGTAGCTATGGAGGTACCGCTGCATCCCGACCGGAGGTTAATGACATGCGATTGTGGTCCTCTGGCGATGCCGAGATCATATATTATCTTAAACCTAGTGATTACATGGAAAACTGGTAATCAACGACATCACGGAATGGGCTTGTAAATATTTTGAGTGGATATAGCTAGTTCGGATTCAGCTTGAGCGCACCTTACCGTGTTAAAAATATAAATACCAAACACACGGTTGGTAGATGAAACATTGATCGGCGATAGTGTAGCGCAACCGGAATAACATTTCAAAAACAAATAAAAAATCTACTATTTTTTTAATAGTCATTTCTTAGCTCAAACTAATATAATTTTGCTGCGCCTACTTTTATTTCTTGCAGAACGTCGTGGAATAATATTTTGTCGCGTTACTCTATAACGCCTATTCAGTATAAGTGGTATAGAAAAAAACAACAACATTAAATTTGTTTTGAATACAAACTACTAAATATATTTTACTAAAGAAATAGGGTTCATATTCATGTATTTGAAAAAAACACGATTGGAATAATAGATTATAATTTAATTTATAGGTAAATATAAATTCCACTCGCTCGGAATGTTTTCAATGTCGAGATAATAAATCCGTTTGAAACCAAAAACTCAGACGGTTTTTTGAATTTTTATTAGCGTTTTAATAAAATCAAGTTCATATTATGACGTACCCGAAATTCACAACATTATTGAAACCCAACAACATGTAGGAATTTATATATGATTAAATAGAAAACACAAAAGTTATTCGACTTTTATATTAGTAAATACAGCGCAATCAGCTGATATTGAAATTTGTCTTAAGCCTTAAAGAATTCTAATACTAAAAGGATAACATTTTGTTGGATATCTTAAATTATAATATGAACTTTATAAACATTTTCATACAAAATTTAATTAAATCTAAATTTAAAAACGTTAATTTAAATGTAAGTACAATTATTTGCGTTTAAAAAATTGTTTGATTTAATAAGTTGTGAAACATTGTTTCGAAGTCTCTTCAAGAAAGTAATCCTACCGAAGCAGTCTTAGTGATTTTTTTTTTTTTTTAATAATACTAATTACACATTTAGCCCACCCACATTAAGTTACGTAAAACTACTCATCAGTCATTATTTGAATTTTTTTATATAAGCAATTAATTATCAGTTAGTACTGTGAGATTATATTTTAAGAGTATTTATATGTATATTATTATACAAAACATCAAAGCAATTTCACCAAGTGTTTTTTACAAATCTTTTTCGAATACCTTAATGGTAAATATATTGCTTTCAGTTTCTAAAACATAGAAATATATGGCGTACGCATTGAACCCACCCAAAGACCGGTAAATATTTTATACTATAAGGTCTAATCGTTGATGATTCAGATATAAAGTTAATCTAAACACCGTATACTCGGTATTCAATACGCGGTCAATACTCGACATAAGGGCTTATACAATATTGAAAGTTAAATAATAATATTATGACTTTCTAACACCGTATTTAGATCACAAAAAGCTATGACATTTTATTAATGTTATGATATTGATCTTTTCACTAGTCAACGGTACAGTGATATAATGCAATGTAATACGTGTACTTGGTCTTCGTAACGACCATGACTTCGTACATCGCATTGCACTCAATATTTTGAACAATTATCCGTATACTTATTTGCTATACACTATACACGATGGGCAAGTGTGTTAAAGTTAACATGGTCGAGGCAGGCTCACGCACAAGTCCATGCCGTTATAATAATATTATGTTATATTATATATTGTATAAGAGCGGATCACATGTACCTAGTTACTTTTAAAATAAATAGAGTACAAATACACATTGACATATTATACAAATTACGGATGATGACAAAAGTATAGTGAAAGTCTGTTAAGAAAACCGCATTAGGTATATCAGCCTAATGTGCCGACCTAGACGATGACGAAAGTTAATTCATTTTGACTATAATAAGTGCGCGAATTCGATTATTACATTATAGTAAAATTCTAGTTTACCCAGAAAATAATTATAGGCCTGACTAAGAAGGTTACACACGATTAAGTGTTATTACACGACAGAGATGTATAATGTACTTGACTCTATAAAGAATAACCATTGTTAACCTTTCAATATACTCCCTCTATCTCGAAAACTTTTTTATTAGAGGCTTAGATAATTATTGTGTTAATAATTTTTTTTTTTAATATCATATATTAGTTTTGTTATAATAAAGATATATTTCTTTTAAATATATTAATAACTCCCAATTATTATTGTAATTCATAATAAGCAGTGTACTGGGCGATTGGTTAATTATGGACCAGTCAATAACTTAAAAGATATTAGACTTTTTTTAATTATTTTGTTTTTTATAATTTTATAGTTATTAGTTGGGACAAATTTTATATATTTTTTAAAAATTTAACTCCATCCCTTATATGTTAAAACCGTATGAACTTAAGAATTTTAAATGGTAACGTATATATTTTATTAACTTTTTAAATTAAGAAAAATTTGCTGAACAGTTTAACTGGTGGATAACCAGTTTTAGATAGTTATTAAAGTTTAAAATTTAGGACAGGAGGAAGGGTGGAGAGTAGAGGTATTTTTATCTGCGCGCATTACTCAACCGCTCTTTCCCTTCCGTCATAACTTTTAAAATTGAATAACTTGAAAACTAATTATCCAAAACTGGTTATCCACCAGTTAAAATGTTCAGCAAATTTTTCTTAATTTAAAAAGTTAGTAAAATATATACGTTACTGTTTAAAAAACTCAAGTTTATAAGATTTTAACATATAAGGGACGGAGCTATAATTTTAAAAAATATATTAAATTTGTCCCAACTAATAACTACAAAATTATAGATAAAAAATAATTAAAAAGAGTCTAATATCTTCTAAGTTATTGACTGGTCTATAGTTAACCAATCACCCGTTGCGTGCTTTACCTGCTTATATTCAGAATAGGTAGCAAGTTTATAGAAATGATTTTGTTTACGCATTTATTAACTAGAAATGATTTGTTTCGAAATACCAAGTTAACGTGTATAATATAGCTCTTTTAATTTGGCTGGTTGACTCCGTTTATATGGGATAAGGCAAAGACGGAGAAGAACGTTATACTTATGTATAATTAACTCGTGTAGATGAGTCTTTTTCCCCCGCTCTGATATTTCGTGGCGGTGATCATACGTTACACGATGGCACTTGAGTTAAATCAACGCCAACGTTGTCGTTGTCCTTGAGACGGTATTATTTTTCTGAAGCGGTCCCAGAAAAGAATAACTTTTAAAAAAATATTTACGTTGAAATTATTAAATAATTATGATTTCGTCCTAAAGTGAAGTCCTCTTCTACAGCAGCTGTTGGAGTGCTTGGACGACCCACGCGCGTTCATCGCACACCTATAGTGATGTAACGGGGCCGGCGGCGCTTGCATCGGCTAACACACACGGGTGCACCTCTTGAGCCAGTGCACAGTTGCCACGTGTCTCATAGACATCTAGGAACCAAATAAAATGAATAAAGACTGTATATAGTCTGTAAACGAGACGTATTGACTTCACACAACGTAAACGTTCATTTATAGTATATATCTATATAATGGCCGTTATCTGGACTAATCAGGATACTGTACCGATTTTTTCATACATAGTCCATTGATCAGAAATCGTTCACTAACGGTAAACTTCAATGGACCAAAAGTTTCAAAAAGTAACTCTGTCCAATAAAAACTAAAACAGAAACCTATTACATATTTCACAAATTGCAAATTTGATACGTTATAACTTATTAAGTTTATAACTTTCGCGTAGTATACATAGGCATAGTAACTTTCTTTTTTAACTTATAGTTTTCAAAAATTGAACTGAAGTTAGGTGAGCTTAGAAAAGTTGTTTGCAGATAAATCCTTATACCTTTATAAAAAAAAACTAATAGATTGAACTATTATATTGATCAATATCGGATTTAACCATGTCGTCATTAATTAGTTGAGTACATTTCGAACACTACAAATTTGGAATATTTTTTCAAAAGATTTACAATTATAGTATCAAAAGAGCTCAAGCTATGTATTTTGTGGTAAATAAAATTAATTTATCCTGTTTAGAGTGAGTCTGGAATTACCATTCATTGCAAATTCTAACATCAATCTTACTGCGTACATGTATAATTTTTTCAAAATATAAAACATATATTTAAGACTGAGGAGATTTAATTGAATTCGCTTTTACGTAATTCGACTTTTCTTTTTTAGATTTAGTTGTACTACGGCCGACATACCTTTATAATAGTGATTCAAGTATAGGTGTATCCGTAGGCTCTTAGACGTGACGGATCTTTAAGTAATACTTACCATTTATAGATGACTTCTCATATTTTTTGAATACTTATGTTATTGAGGTTTACCTGTTCATGGTCAGTATACCAATCCGTCATGAGATAAAAATAACAAAATTATTTTTTAAAAAATAATAAACGTATCGTCTGTAACGAAATCTATGCACATTATCGCCTCACAATTTCTTAACACGTTGTGGATAAGATATTAACATAAAAATGTTGCAACCACGCATCACTTATATGCATAACACTTCAAACAACCAGGCATTAAGATGAGTATATGTATACTTGGATCTTCATCGTGTCCTATTACTTTTTAATAATAATTGTGCACTCTGGAAATGCACATCGGCCCACTAAAGTAGAACACGAAGTGGACGTGTTAATAAAATATATTTCAATGAATTTCAGTAAGATTCATTAATTATTATTACAGACAGATTGTCCTACATTTAAAAAAACAGACTTTACTTCTAATGATTGCCAAGAATTATAATTTTATAAGAAGCGACAGAACATAACATATTATATTTGTTGCAAATCCTATAAATTGTGAATTTGTATTTTGTATTACACTTCATTT